TTACACGTAGCTTACCTTTCTTTGTGCTTTCTTTCAAGGTGTTGATAAAAGTTGGACGTAGTCCCTACCGTCTCTGATAGTGAAGCACTGCAGAACTTACATTGCGCTGTATACTTTTTTCTCAATGTTGCTTTACAAATATATTCTTTATGATTTAAATAGCCGAATTTTATAACCGATGATTTGGCCGACATCTTATCCCATTCTCATACAACCACTTGTGACTATCAATCAACAAAAAAAAACATGCATTTACCAATGAGACAGGTTATTACTTGGATTTGAATCCAAGTATCCAATAAAAAGAAGGATCTTAAAGAAACTGATAATATTCCGATGATTAGCGTTATTTCCACAGTTGTGGTCTTGACCGGTCTTGAAATAAAATGCCAAGTCCTCAGCGCCCGAGACAAGACCGAGACCAAATGCGGTCAAGTCCGAGACGAGACCGAGACCATCAAAAAATGGTGTCGAGACCAAAACCGATCTCAAGTACTACAACACTGCAATACATAATGAGGTATTTTACACTCACTGTTGTTGGAAGGACTTTTATAGGGTTAACACTGACAATTTGACTCTGAATTTTACTGTGTAGCCATCCCTGTAAGTGGAGCCCTATTTTTAAGTGGTATGCAGCTTGCAGTAGGGGCCTGTGTGAAGGTAAAATAATGGCAACATTACTGATCATTTCTTATAGCGCAGGAGTTCAGAATCCTTTTAGAGTTCTCTCTTCTGCTCTCTTTGCACTTTTTATTGGAGACTGATATGAACATGGAGGATTGATAATTCTGTTTCTCTGTAGGCTTGGTCTGATGTTTTGAAACATGGTGACAATGAAAAAGACCTGCTGAAGACTGGTTTTCAGTCTTTCATCGCAGAAATCAAAATGTTATATTTCAAAATGACCGGGTATTTCATTGACTTCATGACTCCTTGCATTAAGGTGCTCAGACTCTTTAAATGAGAAACTAAAGAGGGGCATAGCATTACAGACCCTCCACCATGCTTTACAATGAGAGGATTCTCCAATTCATTTCCAAACCTGTTGGAATGTTTGTTGCAAAAAAAAAAATGTTTTACCTGATCTAAGAATTTTGATTTACTGTCTAAATGATAAATAATATTTTTCTTTTGTTTTGTTGTTTTCTCTTTAGGGCAATTTTAAATGTGATTGCTACTGTATTATTTGTATTATACTTCATACTTTATAGAACTGGTGTCTTTCACTGTGGAAATCAAACCGTTAACTGAGGTATCATTAGATTAAGGTTTGTGGTCCAACAGTTTTATTTGCTCTACTACCCACTATTATCATGTTTTTGTCTATACTTGCTTTTATTATGATATTATTTTTGTCAGGTCTAAGCACCTAAAACATCATATAGGGAAAGAAAGAAGGCACAAAGACAATTAATTTAGTTTTACTTGCGAGGAGAGTAGGAAGAGACTGTGGAGTTTACAAATCTCCAACCCACTCTGCGGTCCCAGCGTTCTCCTCACTATTTATTGAAATCAGTGGTCCCTGGTTACAACAGCTGAGACTACACTGGGGGGGAAACAAGATAAGGAACTCAGACTTGCAGTCTCAGTAAACATATCCTCTAAATCTCAGGGTTCAGTCAAAGTTTAAGCTGTTGAAACTGTTCATCAAAGTTCAGCAGGTTGAGTGCTGCTCGTAAATCAACCACAACCTCCCCAAAAGCAAATCTACAAATCACAGCATTCTTCAGGAAAGATGGCTATGAACACATGCACATAGCACACAGCTTTATGCTTTTTAACACTACACAGATACATTTATATACAATTATTATTGTGATTGTGGGAAAGATTGCTGTGGCATGCAGTCACTGCCATACAGTTACCCAAGAAAGACTGTTAAAGAGTACTTAACAGTTGTTGTTTTTTTAAATTGTCACTTATTTAGAGTTCATATCTCCCAGCCCTAACATACTCAAACAGATCTTAGAATTATCTTAACTTTCGAAAAGGATGGGAATCGAGTGTCATTAACCATCTCAATGGTTTACATTTGTGATGGTAGGACAGAAAAATTCATTAATCCTTGAGACTTGGTCAGCGCTCTGCACGGTTCTCTAACAGACCTTTTTTTTTTTTTATTCTCCTTTGGCCTCCTCCTCACTGTGTGCAGTGCTACTGGTTATATGACTCTATCCATTCCTGTTTCCATTTGCTCCGTTTGTTGTTTTTTGTGCTTATTACTCAATGATTTAATTTCATGATAAGATTAAGATCAAAGAATTGTGTAAATATTAATTTAATTTGATGTGAATGTTGACGCATATATGCACAACAAATGACTCAAATTTTTTTAATAAAAAAAAAATGCAAATGCTGGATTGTTTCCACATGGGTTTTCACGGATGTTTTTATTTCCAGCTCATTGCGATAACGAGTGTCACAAACGGGCAGCAGCGGAGAAATCAGTCTGCTCAGCGGCGCATACAGACACACTAATAAAACAAATGATGCTTTTTCCATTCCAGGTCATCCGGCATTATGAGTCAGCGGACAGAGCGCCGGGGCATACACGTGGACCAATCAGACCTGCTGTGCAAAAAGGGATGTGGTTACTATGGGAACGCAGCGTGGCAGGGGCTGTGCTCCAAGTGCTGGCGGGAGGAGTACCAGCGGGTGCGGCAGAAGCAGATCCAGGACGACTGGGCCTTGGCAGAAAAGTAAGAGCAGCTGGTGCCTCACTAAAATCCTCCCCGAGGAAGAAACGGTTAAACATGCTGAACATGTTCCGCATCTTCACAGCTTTTCCATAAGCTTGTTTATACCAGAAGTGCCAACTTCGCCCACAGCCTGAAACTGTTGACCGCTCTCCTCACTGAGCTCTCTTGCCTTTTTGCCCCCCCCCCCCCTGCTGCTGCAGGTTGCAGAGAGAAGAGGAGGAGGCGTATGCCAGCAGTCACGCCGTCCACTCCCAGTCCGCTCCAGGACACGCCTCCCTCACCCCCTTCTCCAAGTTTGAGGAGAAGAAAACCAACGAGAAAACTCGAAAAGTGACGACCGTGAAGAAGTTCTTCAGCCCTTCGTCACGAACTGCCTCCAAGAAAGGTGCTCCTTGATTTTTTTTACGGGATATTTTTAGTTTACCTCACACCACAATGTTTGCTGTTTTTTGTTTTTACTATGCTGCTGCTCTTCAAAACGTAATACAACTTAAAGGAGCCTGAGTTTTAATGGTTTTACAAACAAAGCCTTGGCATAATTATAGTTTTATGTTATAAACCAGGGATTTCTAAACTTTTAAATCGAAAGAGCCATTATACCCTGAGCCTAGCAAAATAAAAGTAGTTCAGAGCTGCAAATAAATACTATACAACTAAATACTACACAAGTATTTTTCTTTTCTGCAATATGAGATGCATTGCCAGTTTATTTGTATTTTTATTTTTTAACCCTTTAACATGTAGGCCCAATCCCAAACCTGCCCATAAACACTTCTCCTGAGCACTGACCCTCCGTTTTCGCATTCCCGCAGAGGGTTCAGCCACATTAAAGGTCATCCCCCTACGTAGTGGTTAGGGTGAGTGCATTGTTCAGCCCTTAGATAGCAAGTCTGCATCAGTGCAGGCTCGCTGGAATTTGGCAGCAGGTGTAATGGTGAACTAAAACACGTTTATTGAAATGTAAGTTCTGCTAGTTTGTGGCAACTTCGTCACACTGACAGAAAATCACAAGTAATGAAAAACATACAAACATAATTAACCCCTAAAGAAAAGGTCCTCTTTGAAACAGTTTTATTTGACTGCATATAGTTTTTTTTTAAAAAGGGGCAACTGTGCCACAGAGCTAGAGCCATGCATATGTGTTGTCATAGCGGGAGTGCTTTCCTTTTCCATTTGAGGGAAGAAGCCGTCCCATTCTCGGTTATACCCCCTTCATCAATCAAGGAGCCTTCCACAGCTACGAATGAGACTTGATAGTTAAGGGTTAATGGTCAGGGGGCGGTTTGGGATTCAGCCACAGCGTGAAGCTCTCTGAGGCTCATCTTTACATGATCAGCCTGATATTTTTGTTCTTGAAAAAACCTAATTTGTACAATCAGACACAAGAAGGAAACAGAAAACTATAATAAGTGACAAAGAAATGCTTTATTTATTACAAATGACACAATTTCTTTCTGTATTTTTAATTATTCAAAATTGATGATTTTATTTAGTTGTTGAAACATTCAATGACAGCTCTAGTTTCAAATACATTCGAAAGAAATTCTGTAAATCATTTCACATTTTAGCCTTTAAAGGAAATAAGGAAAACACATAAACATTTCCTAAAATGGAAGCCTGGATTTTCCTTTATAGGATACTCTTATGTTAACAATAAGGCGTGGTTTCCAAACCAATGACCAGAAGTATAAATTTAAAAACATGTTTCTGGTTTAATTTCATTCTGTTGTGAAAATCCAATTCAGATGTTATTTATAAGTCTGCAAAAAGCTACTCAGAATGGTATTTGTTAATATACTATGTTCAAAATCATTAGTTTTTTTTTTTAGCCACTGGGCAACTCTAATGAAAAAATCCCTCAGGATTGTCCTATATTTATGTATCCTACTACTAACAGAGCAGCTTCTTTGTCCCTGCTGAAGCAAGGCATCACTGCAACATGATGCTGCCTCCACCATGCATGCATGCACAACACTTTCCACTTTCTTTTTACAATGATTGCATGTAGGCAATTAGCAAAGAGTATAATCCCTTAACCTCCCCCTTAATTTCTTATCAGAAACACAGGAGGGAAAGACACCAAGTCCATCGATCAGCCGCCACGCAAGCTTTGATACAGACCAGGTGTCTAAAGACTTTGTGGAGTTCTTGAAAAACCTTTATAAACCCGGCCGGGAGATCCACAAGCAATGCCGGGCCTTTCTTGTGAGCATGTCAAACAAGAAGGTGGGTTCTACTCCGAGAGGTTTCTCCATGTTTGCACAGAACCATTACAAAGGCATAGCCAATCTCTCCTTTCTTGTTTGAACAGGACCTGGGTGCAGACGAGCTGTCAGAGTGCGTTCAGGATTTCTACCAGAGCTTGGCCGACCGCTTGATTAGTCACTTTAAAGGTGAGCACGTCAAAGTTCTTCTAAATAGAGCATGAAGAGTGACCACCACCAGATGGCAGCACCATTAGGATCTCATTCAGTTTTCTTCATCAGGCTCCTCTGAATCGGTGGAGCAGGTGATGGACCAGGTGGAGAAGTACATCATGACCCGGCTTTATAAGAGTGTCTTCTGTCCAGAAACAACGGATGATGAGAAGAAGGATCTGGCCACACAGAACAGAATAAGGTGCGCTCTCTGGGTTCTGATCCTACCACAGAAAAACAGTGTAAAGCATTATGATAATGTGTGGAAAATATGTTTTTCCGCTCGGACTATAAGTCTCAGAAAGCTGCCTTTAACCTTTAGCCATCTGGTGTTGAGGTTCATTACACAGCTGCCATTTCTAGCCGGGCTCTTCGTGTTTCTGCCGGCTGCATGCGTTAGCGTCCCGTGGAGGGGAATGACAGCAGCAAATGAGAAGCTGGCATCATATGCTGAGAGCTAACCTTTAGGGTTACATCTTCTGAACACAGTGTGATGATGGGTTGTCTTGCAGGGCTTTGCACTGGGTGACCATCCAGATGCTGTGTGTGTCCATGGATGAAGAAATCCCCGAAGTCTCTGAGAATGTGGTCAAAGCCATAACAGGTGGGAAAGAGGTTTCCCCAGAAATCTGGGTTCATTTAGATAACGATTTATGGTCTATAATTGGGATAGATTTATATATATTCAAAAAGGATTTTGTTTTGTGTAAATTACATTTAATCTCCTTTGATCTTAACATATAGTAACTATCAGCTGCTTACAGGTTATGTACCAAATATTAAAGGTAGCTGTCACAGAACTTAAAAAACAGTCAAAAAGCTTCCTTAGCTTTTCTTCATTATCCAGGCATCTGGTAACACACCTTTTTTTTTAATTACCCAGGTTCACACCTATTCTTTTTTTCCGTTAGCCCAACTTAAATTTTACCTTTTCTCTATAGTTGCTATGGTTTTTTTTTTTATGTTACCGTAGTGTGTACCTGCATGCTTCCTATTGCATTTTAGTTTGCTGCCGATGCACATGAAAATTAATGATATTACTTCTTGTATAAATCTAGAATGTGTTTTATTATTACGAAAACAACAAACAAAATTTTGCAGAAACTCCCAACTAAAATAAAGCACTGACAAAGATTAATAACACATGTGGTACATATAAAACACCCATAGGATACAAAATAAAAAGAAAATGTCTTATAAAAAATATTAGAAACACCTGCAGAACTAAGAAAGACTTTGAAGAAAAATATGTTCATAAAAGAGGGAAGAGAGGAGTGCTGAGAACTCACCCTGATTTAAATGTGGGTTTCCGTTTCCTCACCATCTGGGGCCTGCTGGTGATAAACTCACTTGTAACTTTCCGCAACCCCCATAACCAACAGGTAATTTTAAAGAAGGGTAATGATCATTATAGAGATATTTTAGTTAACATTACAGAACCTGCAGGTTTCAAAATGTTTGATTATTATCAATCAAGAAAAACCAGTTGACCAGTTCTTTAAGTTTCCAAGTTTCTGTAACCATATTTTCTTGAGCCATGCAGATATGATTTATCCTTTTAGGACTGATTTATTATCTTTTCCAAGAAATCAACATGTTTCTTCTGATACAATGGATTAAAAATAGAAAAAAATAAATATTTATTAAATTTTTTCGGGTTAAGTGACTTGCTGTCAGCTAGAAGGAAATCATCAATGCAGCAATTACCCAATTACTTGCCTATTTGGTTTGTTAAAATCAGGTTTTCACTTTTATCTTCAGGCAGTAAATGATACTATATGGTTTAACACCAATATACATTTAAACTAAAATGATTATCTGTCCCCTGTATACTGTAAGCTCATTAGTAGATTGTGTTACAGTAGTAAAGGAAGGCCTCTTGTTTTATTTCAGACGTCATTGAGATGGACTCTAAGAGGGTTCCCCGGGATAAGCTTGCCTGCATCACACGCTGCAGTAAACACATCTTCAGTGCCATCAGGATCACTAAAAATGAGCCGGCCTCCGCCGACGACTTTCTCCCTGCACTCATTTACATCGTGCTGAAGGCTAACCCTCCACGGCTACAGTCCAACATCCAATACATTACACGATTCTGCAACCCCAGCAGGCTGATGACCGGAGAGGACGGATACTACTTTACCAACCTGGTCTGTTTTTACTTCTTGCCCTACTTCAGTTCTAATTAAAGTTGGTTTACAAGGCACGGGCTGGTTTAATGAGGTTGACTTGTTTCTTTTTTTAAATCTATTAAAAATTAAACAGCATTGAGTTCAAAATGAGCTAGAACTGTCATCCAGCAGTTACAGTTTAAGTTACAGTTATAATTTTAACTCAAAATCAGATCGAGTGAAGGTAGGTCAGTAAAATAAAGTAAAATTATACACATGTTCATTCCCTGGAGGATTTTTCTGCAGGTTTTCTGCTGTGTGTTCTCTGTCCAGTAGTCCCTGAACTTTTAAGCTACTTTCTTTAACTTTTAGGTTACGTTATTTGAACTTGAGGGTACATTGATAGATCTTAGATGTCATTGAAATTAAACTTTTTGGTCACCTTTTAGATTTAACCCTGAACCAGGTAGTTACTTTTCTGTACCTATTACATAGGATACCTTCCGGAACTTTTAGGTTGTGTTAATTGACTTTTACATTGCATATAGCTTATATAGATCTTAGATGTAATTAAAAAGTAACTTTTCCGTCAGCTTTTGATCTCACGCAGAACACTTTCCTTTACCCTTTAAGACAGATACTTTCCAGAACTTGGAAGTTGCATTGGTGAAACTTAGCATTAAATTTAGAGAGCTTAGAGGTTATTTTATTGTGAATTTTGGGTTACCTTTTGGATCTGACGTAGAACTTAGTAATTACCTTCCTTCCCCATATAAGTAGGGTACTTTCCAGAACCTAAGAGGTTGCATCAGTGAAAATTTGCATTACATTTATAGAGCTTAGATGTGATTTAAATTTAACCTTTTGGATCTAACCTAGAACTTAGTAGTTACTTTCCTTTACCTTTTAAGATGGATACTTTTAGAATTTAGAGGTTGCATTAGTGAAACTTAACATCAAATTTGTAGTGCTTAGAAGTTTTTTACATTTAAGTTCACTGTCACTATTGAATCTAATTTCGAACTTAGTGGTTGCTTTCTATGAAATTGTAGGGTACTTCTACAACTTACAGATCACTCTATTAGAACTTTACATCACACTTGCATTGCTTAGAGCTTATATGTATTCAACTGTTTGGTCTCCATATGGATCTAACCCAAAACGTGGTAGTTATTTTCCTATTCCTCATAAGTAGAATACTTTCTTGAACCAAGTGGTTACTTTGGTGAAACTTTACTTTATTTGGTTATCTGCCATTTTTTGGCTCTGGCACAGACCTTAGTTGTTACTTTCTTTAAAGTTATGAGGTAGTTGTGGAACTTACAGGTTGGTCTACTTACCTTTCACCTTTCAATGTAATTCATAACCTATAGGGTACTTTCTAGAACTTAGAGGTAAATATATAGGGCCTTTACATTCTTTTGTATGGCTTAGAATTTATTTTAACCAAAGTTTGAACTCTTTGGTGAGTTTTTTGGGATCTAAAACTTAGTGGTCACTTGTCTTAACAGAAATGATACCATCTGGAACTTAATGGGTTTACTTTACATTACATTTGTGGAGCTTAGAGGTTATTAGTAAGTTGTTATTTCTCACTTTTGGATCCATCTGTAAGCTTATGGTTTACTTTCCATTCACATGGAACGTAAATTTATACCCATATTTGCATTTTCTGGAACTCATTTATAGCTTTCCAGAACTTGCAGTTTACTTTATTAACATGTGCCAGTTATTTTAATGTAACTAAGAGGTTTGTTATAACTGAATTTGGAGGTTACATTAATATGACCTACTATTTTTAACAGAACTTATCATTTTTGTCATTCAGCTTACAGGTTAACCTTCCTAGATATTTAGAAGTTACAGTTACTTTCCCTAAACCTGTAGGCCGCTTTTGTAGAATAAATTATGTTTTGTTTTTAGGCTTGCTTTGTTTTACCCCACATTTATCAAAATGAGACTAATTTCGTATAACTCACAGATTACTACAGAATATATTAATGACTCTTATTACTGCTGACAGGCTTTATTCAATGTTATAGATTCCTCTTTGGAGCTTACCTTTAACCCTTAAAATACAGTAATAGAATCCAAATGTCGCTAATATGCAAAATATATAAATGGCATAATTTATATATTTTGTTTGTTTTGGCATTAATTTCCCATTTGCTTAATGTATATAAAATACATATTTATTGCTAATTGTTTTACATTTTATTCATTTCATTCCTCCATGTGTTCCACACAGGTCTGCATACTTTTCCACCATGTAATCATTTGTGTAGCAGATATCTGGTAGTGCAGAACAGTAGATCCCCTTGATGAAATATTAAGTTGGCAATTCAGCATGAGGTACAAAGTTGGTCACTGCTTCGACACAGCCCCCCCAAATTGCTGAATTGCCAACTTAATATTTCATCAAGTTCCTTCCATGCCTGTTAATGAACCATTCATTTGATTCAGGGATGTTGAAGCAGAGAAAGGTCTAAAACATTCAGAACATTGTCCCCCACAGGCCGGAGATGGAGACCTCCATTCAAGCTGAAGAATACAAATCAGTGGAAAATGTGTCATGAATATTTCATTATGTGAGGCAGGATTTCAGGATTGCTTAAAATACATATCAGACTTCTTTACTGAGATCCTCTGTCTCTAAATCAGGATTTCTTTAAGCTAAATTAATGTAGTTTTTATTAGGGCTTGTAGGTATGAATCAACAGCTTTAATACTTGTTTTTTTTTTTTTATTTCAGTGCTGTGCAGTGGCCTTTATCGAGAAGCTAGACGCTCAGTCTCTCAATCTTTCCCCAGAGGAGTTTGAGCGCTACATGTCGGGTCAAGCTTCGCCCAGATTTAGCAGCTCAGAGGGGACGTGGCCCGACGGTTCTCAGGGAGTCGGCACGGCCGTCACCAACCCCGTTCTGGCCCAGCTTAACACCAATCTGGAACTGCTGTCGGGTCTCTGCAGCCGACAGGAGGCTGTGATGGAGGCAGCCCAGAGCCTCCAGAGCGAATTCCTCTCCTGGACTCAGAGTGTTCAGCGGGAGGTGAACGACATCCTGGAGAAATATCCTCTGGAGATTAAGTCCTCCAAGGTTTCCGCCATTGATGCCAACAATGTTGACAATGAAAACCTGCCGTCGCCCATTAAACCTCAGGTGTTTGCTGGTTAGAGTTTGCAGAGGATGGAGTAACATTTCATATTCTTCTTAGCTCATCTTACTAAGATTTTAGCTCTGTCGGCACCTAAGAAGCCAGCTCACACCAATCCTTTCCATTTTACTTGGACCTAAAAACAGGCTTAGTGGTTGTATCATCCAGGTTTAGATTTTCATGTCATTTTTCAGTTTAGCAGTTTGATCAATATATTTAAACGCAAAATACAGTGATTCCATAACATAAAAAAGCTTCAGTAATGCACTCTGGCTCATTCATCCATTAGTATGTGAGTTTAAACTCTAAAACTGATGCTAAACGTTTGTTTTTAGTGGTTTTTCTAAGCTTTTAAAAATTACTATGGGACAAATATATAGTGTTATTGAAATGAAACTTGATATAAGAAGTTGAACCAAGCAGCTTAAGCAGAGGCTACTTAGTAACAAAGAAATACAAGTTAGTTAGTTAGTTAGTTAGTGTTGATAATGTCAAAAACAATCGCATTAACATTGAGTTTTAATGACACTCTATTTGCTCCCTTTCTGTCTTTTTGTTTTTTAAAGTGGCATCCTATGGCATCGTAGACACCATTTCTATTTTTAGATTAGTATTATCTAATCAAAAATATACTTTTAACACTGTGTTAAAGTTCTGTAAAGCTATCAGGATGGCCTCTGTAATGATTATTGCTCCACAGGCTCCTACGCAAGACTGTAAGGTTTGGAAAAATCTGACATTTGATTTGAATATTTTCTAGCTTAGATTGAGTGTGGAAAAAGAGATTTGATGCGAGGAAAACTGTATTTCCTTATTCTATCCTTTTTTAATAGAGTATGCCAAATTGCTACTCTTACCATCAGGACAGCTGTTTTCAGATTTTTATTTTATCAACCCTACTATTTACATATTTAAAGCCTGGGAATTGTAAAAGCATTCAGGGTGGAAATCACCAAATTCTGAGTCTGGAAAAATACGAATTTATGGAATGAAAAATCATCAGGATCCCTGGTTAATGGTACTGTACCAACACCTGCTGTTTAAACAAAGCAGGCGAAAAGAGCTCCTGAAAACACCCACGTTTGTGTTTGCATGTCTTTATCTGAGGCTAGTTTGACTTTTGAAAAACACAAACATGATCTCCTTTCTCATTTAAGAGAGTAGCAGCTGCAACAGGTCACATAAAAAGCAGAAGCACTCCATTACTGTTAGTGTCAACGTTTCGTTTTAGTTCATGTAATGTTCAGTGATATATATATATAAATATATATATGTGTATATATATCTATATATATGTAATGTATAATGTTAAAGTAGGCCAGTGTTGTCTGATTTCAATTTAAACTACTGCTGCTTCAGTTTGTTCATCATCATTTCACAGTTGTTGTTTTTTTAATGGACTGTTATTTTAAAGGAAAGGGAAAATTGCACATGTAAAAGCCTTTAAAACAAATCATTTATATCGTTTACTGTACATTTCTGTTTTTAAATCCAGACTAGAGGGATTTTAAGGTAGTTTCAACTTTTCTAAGCTATTTTTAAATGTTGTTTGTGTTTGTTTTTTTTGTTTGTTTTTTTTCCATTATTTATCTGTGCCACATACATTTCTCATTGTTGATAGAATAATAGAACTATCGTTAAATTCTGACAAAAGACCAGATTTACAGTTTAAATAATGTATTTGAAAACCCACAGTGCCCATTTTTTTTTTTATTTACTTTTTTTTTTAAGTAGGATCATTTTCTTCATGTCTGTTTTTTATGAGTGCCATTTAGTGGGAAGCCTATTTGAAATGAATTAACTTTAAAAGATTGTTTGAATAACTTTTGTAATGGCACTAATTCTAACTGACATTGACTGATTTAAATTATTACCAAAACCCTGTTTAAAAGTACGAATGAAGTGATTTTAATTTGAAAGGATAGTTTTTCTTTCATTCTATTACAAGAAAAGGATGATAATTGTGCAAATCTGTGGTTCATATTTCATAATTGGTCAAAATGTTTTTGCTGTGGTGAAATAAAGAAATTTAATAATGCATAAAAGTGAGTCCCAGTTGATCATCTTTATTTTACATCATAATTCTGCATTGTGTCCTACTAAAGAATAAGTTAAAGCTTTTTTCTTGGTAATCCTTTTGATTAGAAAGTTTTAATGTATCTGAAGATATAAGCTGTTTGGTCATTTTGATCATTATTCAATTTGGAGGAAAAAGGAAAAGCTTTCAAGCCTGAGAACACAGTCCCAACTGCGAAGTACGGAGTTGGTAGTATCATGTTGAGTTACTGTTTACTGCATGAGGGACTGTACGCTTCAATAAAAAGATGGCATCATTTAAAAGAAAGATATAGTGGAGGTTTTTCTTTTTCCAGGTGGATTATTAAAACAGGCGATCCTCCTAATTGCCAATCATTCTGGTGATATGTTGACGTAAGGCCGTCCTACCTGCTCGTCCACAGGTAGCTATTTTTTTCTGTGCATGCGCACTTTCAGGCATATATCTGGTGTGCTACGGATTCAGCTCACCCTCCTCACGTGGTTCTTTGAAAATGGCAGAGGATCGTAAGAGAAAAAGTGTCTCTGAAGTGTGTGAGAAGAAAAGAAAGGCCTCAGGAGAGAGAAACAAGACCCGAGTGTTTTTGGAAGATTCTTTCACGCGATGGCGTAGACTGAGAGCACAGGTTGGACTTCCCACTGACGCCTCAGTTGCAAATGTTCTACTTGACATGTCAAGTTTGGCATGTTATTTAGAGAAATCCATTTCACATCACTGCTAGTAAAACAAGGAGAAATGGGCTTGTGATGATCTCGCACACATTTAATAGACGTTCCCTCTCTGGAGCGGGTACAGGGTTGTGCATGTGAAATTTTTTTTAAGTGGAGAGATGGAGAGGACGGATCTTTTCAAATAATAGCGAAAATCCTCCACAATACCTTTAAGTGCAAATATTAAAAGCATTTCCCCAAGACTGGAAGTCAAAGCGTAATAATTTGCAATTTGAAATAAATCGATTGTAAAGTTGACCATAAATGTATTTTTTTTGCTATATAATAGCAACATCTTCGCTTCTTCTGACGATAGCAGTACGACACGCAGCTCAGCTCAGGTAAAGTCAACAGTCAACCCCTGATTCTGTCACAGCTGCTCTCTCAAAGCTATTTTGAGCTGCTTCTTTTTATCGCCAGATGCACCTGTGGATGTTTTGAAGTCCATCAGTTGCATCTTATCCTCTTCATTCCCAACAGAGCAATGCAATCAATCTGGAATCTAAGTAATAAAAAATACCCTCTTCAAGTGTTATGTAGATTAAAAAATGTGGTCAATAAAGTGTATTTTATTTGGTTTAAGATACTTTATGTAAGAACTTTGTTATTGCATCTATTTCTATATTGGTTTTTGCTGTTTATAAGGGAGATCTGTGATCTTAAGCTAAAATTTAGAAATACTAAATAGAATTTAAACTAGTAATTTAAGTCAATAATAAACAAATCCAATTTTCTGCAGATTGACATTGAAAAGAAAACAAGTTTAAGGTTGATTAGCTTGAACTTCAAGATACAAAGACTAGATCAAACATATAAGGCAATTTAGGAAAATATTCTCCCAACAACAAAAAAAGAAATCAAACCAAAGACCTCCTCAGGTGCATAATAACCAACTCACTGTTTATTTATTGTCTATAATTTTAGGTGACGTGAGGGATTTCTGAAGGAAATCATCTAACATCCTCCACCCGACAAGAAGTCTCCAGTGTGCAAAAAAGTGACAAAAATGCAGTTTTAAAGGGCCGTTGTCCAAAGTCTACAGCTGTAAACAGCAAACTCATGGCTTGGTGTGGTTTGATCATAAACACATTTCTCATCCGGGGAACAAAAACGACTCATTGGTTTCAACTAGAGCTTGCATCCATTTGAAATGTATGTTTTTCTTAGATTACTGTGGTACAGTATGTGCAGATAACAAGATAAATTAACTGTTTATACATGCTTAGATATATTTCTGAAAAAAAAACAGTTATTGAAAGCTTTATACATACGGTAAGGCATAGAGTATATACAGAACTAACCTAAAGGTAGTAGTATCAAACATCATTTAGATTTTCACACAGCAACAGAACAAAGAATTCAAAAACTGCTCGTAATTATGTACAAAAATACTTATGCAAATGCCCCCTAGGAATATCTGAATAGAAAAAATAACAGGAATCTTGTCGGGAGGACATCACATTATAATTGAAACATGCACTTGTTGCAGAGGATTCTCAGTCCAGCTGTGGGCCTCATGTCTACATGTTCTGTTTTCACTGAAAGGTAGCAGGTCTAAGTGAAGGATTACATGGTCTACTGTGCTATTTGGTCCTCATGGTGGGACCATCCCCAGCAGACAGTTTGCAGTGAAATCCATGAATCTCATCACAAACTTGCTCTCCTCACTGTCCATTTCTCATTACACTTTAGACTCGCTCTCCAGATTGGTAATATCCCCGTTCCTTTCGGCAGTCTGACTGTTCTCCTCGTTCTCTGGGGCAGTCTTGGTCTCCTGGCCCTCCTGCTGGGACTCAGGCAGCCCCTGTTGGCTCAGCTTGCTGGCCAGCGACCAGGTGAGGGGCAGTCGGGCACGGTTGGCCATGTCGGAGAGCTCTTTGGCACTGCAGGTGGGCGTGTTGGTTTCGTAGATCTCGTGGAAGCTGTTATAGTCCACCTCGTAGAAGCCGTCCTCCAGGGTCAGGACTGGCATGAAGCGGTAGCCCCATTTGATCTCACTGCTGACATAGGAGCTCCTGGCCTGGCAGGTCATCCCTGGAAACACAACGGGAACATCTAACTCTTGTATACTACAGCGATTCAGTTCAAATTTGACATCTTAATGCTCGTATCCTAAGGTGATAGGTAAACAAAAATTGGGGGTTTCAGAATGAATTCAATGACAATAAGATTAAGATTCTTTTACTTATTTAAAGCTTACTATTTTAATTGTTGCAAATTTATCAAGCTACTATAATTGATGAACATGTAATTTTGTTTTAGCATGAAAAAAAATTGTCTTTATTGTCTTACTTTCTTATGATCGGACCTGATATTTGACGAAAAAAAACACGATTGCCAAACAGAGATGGACTCAAACTTCTGAAAATGAGTAATACTTTAAATCAGAGTAACCATTACTGTAAGTAGAGAGGCATTTTTAAAGAGAATGAGTTTTTTAGAGCAGTAAATAAGTTATAAACTACACTCTATTTGAGTTAAACTTGCAAAGCAGACAAGCTGGTGTTGTGGTTATCTAACCAGCATGACGTTTAAGATGTAAGTTCCAATTTATTTTGGAACAAAGACTTATTCATTTTGCAAAACATCCTACTAAAAAAATTAAAACATGAAGGAATAATGGTGATCTAAGCGAGGATTGCACAACATAAAATCAGAATCCCTCTAGCTCACGGTGGAACAGAGGAATGGGATAGGGAGGTCTTCTTGTAGGAATAGTGAAATTCCACTCTAGTGTCACCATCTCAGTGTGAGCATGCTGTCACGCTGATGTTAGCATTTAGGTCAAAGCATCAACATGTCCAAGTAGGCTTTAAAGAGCAGGTGCACAGGTGACGGTGATGGCTGGCATCCTTCACACATGAAAATGGATGCTGCCAGGATGTGGAAAACAGCACAGATTGGTCTAAAATCTAAAATTTGAGAGATATGTCTTTTATTCTGTTTTTAAGATTTACCCTTAACTTGTCTCAGTCTTTTTCATTCTCGGTTTATCTGGGCACAGATAAATGGATTTCTTGATCTATGAAATATGGATTTATTAACATTAGATTCTTGAGAAAGAATAATAGGTGGATTAATTAGTTTACATATAAATGAGAATGTAAAAAAACTCTCATTTGAAAATCTTTTGCACATCATGTTCCTCTTTCCACTGTGAAAAACTGAAGAACATTGGCCATGACTAGTCACTTAAATGCAGTCTGAATATTTCCAACATAATTAAATCTATGCTGTTTCATAAAGTGTCTGTGACTTGATAAAAACCCCCATCATTTCTTCCCCAGTTGGCAAACTGTTAAATCCTTTTCCACCAGCATTTACATATTTTGACATTAACTTGTGTGCTCATTAGCACGGCTGTCTGCAAGAAACAGAGTGCTCTGTGCAGCTCTGGCATCTGTTTCAAAACAAGCCACTGAGTTCTTATGTAACAGTGTGTATAATATTTTATTGAAGCTGAAATATAGACAAATGCCTGTATGTCATCTTGAATCTAAAGTCAGGCTGTTAAGAGTGTTTATTATGCAAAAAGAATGTGTTTTTAAGAAGAAAATATCCTAGTTGTTGTATAGGGGGCCAGGGCTGGGTATTTTAGAGCTTAATCGATTCGATTTCGATTCTTACAGTTCTGAATTGATTATTTTCGATTCAATCTGTTTTTACAGTAATGAAAGTGGTTCAACTGTGTTTTTAAAATACTCAAACTTGTTAATCGGATATTTTACACTTGAGATGTAAACTCAAACTGTCTCAAAAGTGCAAACTTGTAGTGAAAAGTAAAACAAAACAAATTGAAGCCTCACGTTTAGCTTGGAAGGTTAGTTGTTGGAAGATAGCATAGCGTGATATGTTGAATGATTTCTGAGATTTGTAGCGTCTCTCTACAATAACTGACCTCTGGTTTACAGATCTTGCAAACTACTTTTGTTTTATCCAGCACATTATCTTTAGTTGTTTTGAATCCAAAATGGTTCCAAATATCAGACTTCAGTTTGGACAGCTTGCTGAGCGGTTTGTTACTTGTGTATAGAATTTTCACACACCTGCTCATTTGAATGTGAACATCACGCAGACCCTATATAACTAAAAGCACACATTTGACTTTCATTCTCCAAGTTTGTGAAACTGGACAGTAGTGGACTGTTGCACTAGAGTGAAAATTTTATTTTTAAATAATTTTTTTATTCTTTAAAGCTAAAAGGAGAATCAAACCTACTGAAATATTCTTTCAACCAGGACAGTCACATTGATCATTGCAAAATTTTCTTAACTTAGTTACATAGTTCAAATTACCTTGGGGAAAACATGTTTTGTCTTAATAAATCTCATTTTAAAGTTCTATAAGTAACTGGAGTTAGTAAGTCAGACAAAAGGTACACATGATATCTAGCAGATAACTATGCTAACCACCAAATTCTCTGTGCATACTAGAGCATAATCAAAAATATGCTGGTTTACATGACAACAAACATTTGAAAACGGGATTGTTTTTTACTGTTCTGTTAAGTAATGCATATGACATTTTTATATATGGTCTCCGTGAATTTCACCCTGGAGAGACTCCCACAGAGAGGGTGAAATTAGAAAAGTATTATTCAATTTATTTACAAAGATAAAACAATCAGATTCTTCCAAATATCTAATGTATCTAATGTAATATGTATCTAAGGAAAACCAGTTGTTTGTATTAATTCTTGGGCAATCCTCACACCAAGCATGCATGCAGCGACAGTGGAGAGGAAAACTCCTTTTTAAACAGGAAGAAACCTCCAGCAGAATCAGGCTCGGTGTGAGCAGCCATCTGCTCAGGCAGACTGGGGTTTGTGGAGACTGAAGCAGACAGTGACATAAATAAAATAAGTTATTTGGTACTCGTGCCAACATTTGCTTGGATGAGTAACCTACAAAAGAATGACAGTAATCTTCCCCTGGGGCCTGGACACAGGTGGGACTGAAAATATCCTGAGAGTGATGGAGGAGATGGAACAGAGGAGGGTGAAAGTTCACTAGAGTGGGCGAGACAGAAGCTAGGCCAGGAGCTAAATGAGGGGGATCTTGAAAGATGATTGGATTCGGAGAAGGTGCGGCCCAGAGATGATTGGCTGGAGCCAAAGAAGGGACATCTCAGGTGGCTCAGGTGAAGCTGATAAGAGTCTTCCAGATTGAATGTTCATTAAAGCTTCATAAGACACTACCAGAACTGTTAAAAACTTCAAATTCCAAATCAACACACACATAGACTGCAGATTCTTGGAAACTCAAGAGGAGGAAAGATGCTGGTTGAATCAAACCTTAATATAGTAAAAGTACGGATAGTTTGGGGCTTAATACTCAAATTCCAGGATTATATGTTCACCATATATCGTACAACCCAAAAAAAGGTCTCTTGATTGTTGTCTGACAAAATAGTGTCTCTTAAGACATCTGACGGTGTGTAGAGCTAAACTAGATAAACATTTTAAAGGATGATGTAATGCTTGTCCAATTGACTACCACACTGGTGGAAACCAAAGTGGTAACAATAATTGAAAAATGTACAATTTCAGGAGCCACAGTCAATAAATAGCAATAACTTTCACATAGATCTGGATAAATCTGAAAAACATCAAAAGACTGTATGTGCTGTCAATGCATTACATAAACCATGTGCAACCTAAACATTAGAGCTTTTTTGTAGCTTTAGACTTATATGTTTTGTATCCATTCTTTAAAATCTTTAATGTATTAAACAGCTGGAGGAAAGGCTCTTAGAGTATACATGTGAATACTCACCTGTGGCCTCCACCATTCCCTCCAGAATCACAACAATTTCCAGCTCCTCCTTGGCCAGATGAGCCTGGGAGATCTCCCAGAAGGGGCTGTGCTGGTTTATCTCGTGGCAGATGATGAGCGGCGACACTAGGAAGAGCCTGTCATCTCCTGTGTTGTAACCAACATTTATGTCCGTCTGGTTGAGAGGAATAAACTCCCCCTCCTTGGTCTGCTTAGACTTGATAAGCTTGGCTCTGATTGAAGCCTCAACGATGTGCGAGTTTCGGAGGTCTCCAACTCTGAACATCAGGCACAGCCGTCCATCTCTCATTGAGATGACCGCATTGGTGGAAAACACTAGTGTCTCAGCTCGTTTTTTGGGCTGCGAGATCTTTACAAACATGCAGCCCACCATGAAGGCATTGACGATAGATCCCAGCACTGACTGGACTAAAAGCAAAACTATTCCCTCGGGGCATTTGTCCGTGATAACTCTGTATCCATAACCAATCGTGGTCTCTGTCTCAATGGAAAACAGAAAGGCTGAAACGAAGCCGTTGAGGTTATTGACGCATGGAGTCCACTGATTATCAGCTATATGGTCAAGGTCACCCCGGAGATAGGCAATAAGCCACCACATTAGGCCGAAGAAAAGCCATGTCACTGTGTACACCAGCACAAAGATGAAGAGGTTAAACCGCCATTTGAGATCCACTAGAGTGGTGAAAATGTCTGTCAGATAACGGTAGGTCTCTCGGACGTTCCCATGATGGACGTTGCACTTCCCGTCTTTCTGGACATACCGCTGGATCTTTTTTGCTCTGTCCATTTCTGCCAGCTGCTTAGGCAGGTCCTCTCTGGCCTGCTTTGGCAGCTTGGGCTTCCTGGCGGCGGCTGGGCTCTCCACATCCTGCTCCATGGGGTCTTTAAGTGGATTCAAGCCTATGAGATGGGGAACATGAAAACAGTAGTGCGTTAGCAGGTCCGGCCTTTCATTGCAAAAAATAGAAATCTAAATAAGTAAATTTTGCTTAAAAGAAGTGCATTTTTTCTTGAATTGAGGAGGTATGTGAGACACTTTGCCAATGGAACAAGACAATTTACATTTAAAATAAGAAAAAAACTTTTGCATTGTCTTATTTCAACTGCATAATATCTAATAACCTTATTTCAAGAACACAACAATACTCATTCCACTGGCAAATCATCTTATTTACCTACTCAAAATAAGGATAAAAACACTGAATTTAAGACTTTTTCCTTATTTCTAGATCGTTTTTGCAGTGTTGACATTGGACATCTGTAAGATCATTGAAGACACACTTTATACCAGGACATAAAATGGTAGAAGTTTATTGTTTAAGTATTATTTTACAATGAAAATAGGTGTCCCATGTGTGTAACTTAATCCTTACTTTAGTTTGTATACAACCAAGTTGTCTTACACAACACCAGCTCATAAAAAGTCACAGAAAAGTCAAGAAGTCAAAGTTGCATCCATTTATGTCAGATCCATTTGCCTGTACTTGAAACAGAGGAGCTTGAGACATATGTCATCAAAGATATTATTACTACTGATGAAACCTAAATAAATTATGGAGGTCCTGCTTGTAGATATTATGCACCTTTCTAGGAGTCATATAACTTTATTTCCTCGTATTAACCCATAAGCCGATTATACTTGATTTACAATCAAATCATTTATAAAAAGAACCAAAGATGTTTATAAAAAATGCATAGATTAGCAGATCAGTGTTAATATAAACGACTCCTTTTTGTCCTCCACAAATCTTTGGGATTAAGAATTTGAAAATGCTAATGAAAAAAAAAGAGCAAAGGAGTGTAGTAAATAAATTCAAATAAAATAAAAAAGTAACTACAAAAGAATAATTAAAAAAAACTAAATGATAGAAAAAAATACTTAATTTACAAACAAAATTGTATTTTCAACAGTGTTCTTTTCCCCACTTAAATTCTATTGTATTTACATTACAGAAAACACAAAAACAGTGTCAGTGAGATAAAAAATCATACATAAGAATAATACAGGTAGGTTGAATGTGCTTAATCTCCTGTGTTGGTATTGGTATGTTGTCCATTTGTCCTATTCTGTGTGAAACTCAACTTGTTTCAGTATTAACTTATATGTGAGTTTTTTCATGTTAAAGATCTCCTCCGCTACGTCCATCCAGTTTCTCAGAGTTGAACGGTCACCTCTGTACCATTTCCTAGTGATTATTTTTTTGGCTGCAGCTAACAGTATTTTTACTGGATATCTATCCTCACATTGAACTTTTCAATTTGACAGTTTACAAAAATACAGAATCTCACCTGAAAATGGTAATTTATAACCCAGTATCGTTTCCAATGTAGTCCTTATGTCCTTACAGTATTTCTGCACGTGCTGCTCCCCCCACCTTCTCCAATATGTTAACTGTGTTTGTGTAAGTTTATTTGTCCATCATAGGGGTCATAAAAAAAACTCACAATGTTTTTCCAGCAGAATTTCCTCCACATCCTGGAGCTGGTAGTGGTTCGCTGAATATCACATATATTTATCCAATCCTTATCACATAGTGAAATCTTACACTCTTTTACCCATCTGTCTCATAATTACAACGTTGAGGTTCCTTTGTTCTTTATTAAACCCTGATATAATTTTGAAATCAGCCTCCTAGTCTTGTTTTTATATACATTACATAATGTTAAGGTCACCTCATTCAGTTCTTGTAGAAGATTTGGTTTAAATTCTTTTTCAAGGTAGTTTCTAACTTGGAAATATCTAAACATGTCTAAGTCACCACAGCCATAATCCTCCTTTAGACTTTGGAAACTTTTGAATGTATTCTTGTTCATGATTGTGCTTAACGTTGTTATACCGTTGTTTACCCATTGTTCAAAAATGTTATCAATTTTCCTGGTTTGAATTTTGGCTCATAAGCCACTCAAGTCAGAATCTTGATTTCCCTTTCTAATTTGTATCTCCCCATAACTTCAAACCAAGTTTACAAGATAAATCTAGTGATTGTTTCAAGCTTACTCTCATGTTATTTGAAGATTTCCCTATTTGATATCATATTTTGGATAGGGAATCAATCCATCCATTTTCTTCTTCTTTATCCGAGGCCGGGTCATGGAGGCAGCAGTCTAAGCAGAGATGCCCAGCTTCACGATCCGCACACACTTCCTCCAGCTGCTCTGAGAGACCCGAGGCGACACCACGCCAGATCAGAGACATAGTCCCTCCAGTGTGTCCTGGGCCTTCTACGGGTCCTCCTCCCAATAGGACATGCCTGGAACACCTCCCAAGTTAGGCATCAAGGAGGCATCCAGAACAGATGCCCGAGCCACCTCAACTGGCTCCTTTCGACATTGAGGAGCAACGACTCTATTCTGAGCTCCTCCCAGGTAACTTAGCTCCTTACCCAATCTTGAAGGGTGCACCCAGCCACCCTATGAAGGGAACTAATTTCGGTCGCTTGTATTAACGATCTTGTCCTTTCGGTCATTACCCAGATCTAATGACTGTAGGTGAGGGTTGGAACTTCACCTCCTTGATATATCTTAATACAGCTGGATCATTTGAGTCTTTATGTCCAGATTTCTAACTCAAGTTATTTTTCTCTAATAAAGTTTCTGTCTGACCTTTTTGTTATATGTTGCTCTACAAATCAATTTTCCCCCACATAACTACTTTCATAGCATCCCAGAGGATAGTAGGGCTTAGTTACCTGTTGTCATTCTCTTGTTTATAAGCTTGTTTTTCTGATTTATTCTCCTTAAATACCTCTGGATTATTTAGAATACCAACATACATTTTCCATTCGGTATTCTTTTTCCTACTATTTTTATTTGATATGAAATGGAGGATACAATGATCCAATAGATCTGACACACTTATTTAACATTCTTTCATTTGGAAGCTATCCACTATATTATCCAAAAAAATGCCCAATCCTTGTGTGCACTGAGTAAGGGACCATATTTTAAGTTTTAATATGATTTTAAAAGGAATGTACTCAATAGTAGAAAACCTAAAGCAAAAAAGGGGCAGAAAAATATTTAAATTCATCAGTTAGTTAGTTAGTTTAGCCCAGTATGCTTCCTCTCTGTGCTTTAAGTCTAACATCTGCAAACAGGCCAACATCAGACAGTGACTATGAATAAAATCACTATATAATATGGAACAAACCACTGACTGACTGTTAGCTAAAATCAGGTGACATCTGTTAGATAACAGCAGCGTTATGCTATTTATATCCAAAAAAAATGTCAATTAGATAATAGATTTAATAGATAATAGATTTATCATTTTATAAAGGACTGACAGGTATATTATTCTATACAATTACAGCATGATCAAAACACCAAATAAGTTCTCATCTGTATTTCTAAAGGTTCTGTGTAATCATGTTTTTTTTCTTCTTTTTTTGTGCCTGATACACAGTACTAGATACTGTTCTGGTGAAACAATCCTAAAGAGTTAAAAATTCAGCAGGATGACAAGCTCATGTTGATGTCGCAGCTAAAGAAATATCATAGATAAAAGCCTACCTAATCATTCTTGTTTAAGGCCAGTGTGCAGATTCACCATCTGTAGTACAAAACGCCTTTAGTCAATATTACGCCAGAGGGAAATGTGTCATCACCCAAACATCAAAAGGAAAAAAAAACAACACAAGATTTTAATGCTGCTCAAGAGAAATCGAGCAGCGATTTACTAATGATGAGTAATAAAAGCAAATAAAAATGGCTGAAAGCAGGGTTTTAATGGCAGCTATTTTGAGTGAAACAAGAGCCTTGTTGAAAATAGATGTGCTTTTTCGAATCGATCCTGTCTAAGCTGGAGTTCAGCAAAGTTCAACACAACATCCATCGCTGCAGCGTTTTAGTATGGTTTTCTCTCCACCGCCCACAGAATATTTTCTTTTTTAGTGCTGGCTTTCTTTACAGTATTTTTGAAGACATTACATTTGGTATAAAACTAGTATTTTGTCTGAGATGATACTGTAGTATAAAGAGAAATATCTCTTTTTGGAGCAGAAGTCTCACTGCCACCTAAAGGAACTGTTTAATTGCAGTGAAATACTGTATTAAGTTAAGGGTGGCGTCATTTTTGTCCAGGCCTATTTTATATGTTTATTGTTTAAAATCATTCTGTTGAAGCATGACAATCAATTGTTCATTTTCACAGAACTTTTATTTATTATTACTTTTTTAAGATTCAAGTTATTTTGTGACCATTTGGGGTTTTTCTTTTATTTAACGAGGGGTACAAACAATTTTGTCCATGTGTAGATAAATTTGCCTTGCCTCCCATTGTTACAATAATTCCTAATCTCCCCTAAATGTGTTTGAAGGAAGCTCATTAATCATTTTTAAAGTACTAGTTACACACATTACAAACATGTATCTTCGCGTTTTTATTGAATTATTAAATTTTTTTTTGTAGCTGTGAGCAGAATGTATAAAAGGCTTAAAACCAACAGCTTATTGTTGTCAAGCTTTAGAATATGTAAATCACTTCGTGAATTGAGATAATATTCTAATTCATTAAGAAGCTGTACAAAATTCCTGAGCTAAAAATCAAATGTTCAAGAATATCTAACTAGTTCCAAACCATTTAATGCAAAAGTTATGAAACAAAATGATTTTATTACCCTTAATATGTGTGTATTTTGATAGATCTTCCCTCCAACTTTTATATAAGTTCTGCTTATCATCCAACTTCTTCAGGCTTTCTAATTATTTTCCCTGAACACACACTTTCTGCATATCATAGTGATGCAGTCAAAGCAGTCAAATTAATGAGGAGACATTAATAGCAAACTTGCAAATAAATTAAAGCAATTTGCCTCATAAAACAGCTATGAAGGAAAATTTACTAAGGGTGTAATAAAAGCCGTGAGCACACTCCAGGCTTAAAATGTTGACAGTTTTTT